TTTCTGATCTTTTAAGATAGCTGAAGTTCGTTATGATTTATTATACGCAATTTGCACTTTGAAATCGTGGGAGTTTAAATTCTAGTGGGTCTTGATTCTATATAGCGCCTCGAAACTTTCCTAAAGAAGAAGTCATAATACATGGACAGAAAGTGTAATGACAACGTAAAGGAGAATCGAGGTGCTATTAATATGGCCCGAAGACCATGCCACCTGGCGGAACCAAAATGATGCGTTAAATAATCAACACATTACATAGACCCTATATTCTGCATTTGAGCGTCGCATCCGCCGCTGTTTATTGGTCACCTTCCTTGTCGTCTACCTAAAAGTAGTCGGCATTGTTAGAAAAACACCTATGAACTAAATGGGCCTGTCGCCGAATTTCCGTACAACTGAGAAGACACCTGGCTGCAAAGTCACCGATCCCTCTGAATCTGGGGTCTCGTCCTGTTTTGAAACTGAATTGGGGAAAGGAGAATGTGCAGGCTATTACGTACGCCCACCGCTTGTCGAAAGAATACAGGCCTAAAGGCAAGGTGCTTTAAAAAAAGACATACTAAACAGAATCCTATTGGAATAAATTTTCTTGTCTTTTCCTTCTTGCCACTTTGCTAACACTTCAACGCTGCCCAGCCATATCAACCTGAATTCAACCCAGCCAGTAGAGAAGTGGAGGAAGCATTGAGTATTCACTACATTGCTATCTTCATACAAGTGCCTTAGAGAGCTTCGTAAGGAACTATTCCAAGTGGTTCACAGCTATTGTCGCCTCACTTATTGTTAACAGAACTAGGGCAGTTCTCGGAGGTAGGTGTCATTCTTAACCCTTCTGTTAGGGATTGTCACAGATTCTCCTATATTTGCAGTATATGCCCCACCTAAGTCATGCTAAGGTATATTGTAGACACACTGAAGGGCTGGAGTCTATTGGCATGGTCCAGAGGCCAGGGTGTCTAAAGAAAGTACAAGGATTGAGCCTTTAGTACCCGCAAAATCAAAATGAATTATTAAACAAATAATTCAAGTATCATAAATAAACATTTCTGCTATTTTCAAAAAATACGATTTCAGACGCCGACTATAATGGGTACCTGATATAAGTTTTTCCAACAATCCACAAATAATAGATTTATTTTTCACCACACTTGCCACAAAGGCTATCCGCGAAACCTGACAATCGACAATAAACTTATATATGTATTCATCTATTGATATCTATCCGTTGTTGAATCAGCTATTACAGATGTGTTTTATGACCAAATTTGTGTTACTTTTTGGATGAGTCGTTATAACAATAAAATTTGCAATTTGGCTAAGACTAGGCACAGCATTTTCACTTCTGTTGGACACCTTAAGCGGACAGTTCTTTCATTAATAGATGAGGAAGTAGACAGCGGAGAGGTGATCTATGTGTCGAAAAGCAATTGAAGAGGAACAGTATCCAAGTAACTCTTAGAGGAGAGAAGAGTTGGATACCTAAGCAGATCTTTCAATTACTGGGGAGTCGCGGGATCTGTGGACTTGATGGCAGTGGATTGTAAAAGCACGGTCACATGTGCCACGTCTGGTAATAAGAAGGCACATCAGTCAGGAGTGGCGTTAAATCAGCGCCTATAACGACTGATGGCTCCACAAACGGACTAATCTTGTCGGTGAGAAAGGAAGTAATTAAGCGTTATTTGGTCGACAATTATGTGTGTGTATGCATTAAATGCGCAATCATTCTGGCAATTAGGAAATTGCAGCCCTCTCTCTTCCCTTTCTCCCTCCATCACTCTCTGCACCCCCCTCCCCTCCCTTTATCACCGACTCTAAATTGCAGACTTGTTATTAAAATTGTACTCTTAATTACCCCTTCACTATGTAGCTGTCAAGCACCAAGACCACTACCTTCGAATGAGACACTAAAATTCACATGACACCTCAAAGTAACTCCGTGCCACCGGCGTCTGAGGTGAGTTAACAATTAATCATGCTAATTTAAAGCATGGCTAAATGCATTTTGGGTACGCTCACTTCATTTTGAAGCCGGCCTGACAAGAAAGGATAAAACTGACTGTGTGAGAGAGAGGCAGTGGGCACGTTTAAATTTTGGTATTTTTTTGGACTAAATCACACTATCTTTTTTTCATGTTTCCGTCACACCAAATCAGCTTCCACCCAAACACCACCTCTGATTAGGGGTGAGTGAGGGAGCAAGGTGTGATTTGTACCTATCCGCCTCTCTGTCTTCCCCATCTCGGTGCCAGCGCACGCTTTTTTTGGTGGTCCGGAAGCAACCTGTCAATTTGTTTAATATTGCATGCTTCAGTCCTCCCTACCAAATCGTAAATGCACTTTTTCAAGCGATTCGGGAGAGACACCCAACAAACGAAAAATTGTCCTTATGTTTGAACATTTCGTAAATCGTGATTCCATTGAATTAATATGATAATACAATTTGAGTGGTATGCGCATGGCTGGATTGTCAAGAGGCGGTTAGGTAACCGATCCCAAGGGTACCCTTTTTTAATTCACTGACTTTGATCCAAAAGGTTGGTAGCTCAAGTACTTTTTTTCTAACAATGGCAGAAGGAGTATCAAATCAGATTTCCCTGGGTCAAGTGAGTCCTGGAGAGACAACTAATGGAAGACATTGTAGACATTTGAAGCAGTCGTATACAGCATTTTCCTTTTGGCCCAAATCTTCAATAACCCTTAATGTAAACAAGTATTAGGAGGAAATCGGCCTTCAGGTTGTCAAGAAAAATGAGCGAACTGTGAGATTTGGTTACTTGTTGTCACATCTAACACACAACAGCAGCACATCAATCAACTCCACTAGTATTTTTACTTCCTTATCCAAAATGTTGCGTGCTTTGTTAATCCATTGTTACTTTTTCCGAAGTAAATGGGCCAATAATCTGTTAGCTCCTCTCCTGATGGAGAAGATAATAACCCTCCACTTACCATAAAGACAAAAAAGTTGCCCAATTTGAACTATTTCTCCTATTCAGATACATTTCTTCAAGTGAATATAGACAATGATTTGAAGAAATGGCAAATAACTAAATTGTTAGCCAATTAATTGACCCCTTGCCTCCAGTCCGAGACTTAACATGGAAATGCAGTGACTTTTCTAGCTTCTTGTTTTGCTTGTCCAACTCTTCTGATGGGTGGTCGCGTATAGCACTCCATCAGGGAGTAATTGAACATTTTCCTAATGAACCAGAGTTCTTATTAATTGGACAAAAAGTGGGAGGCAGTTAATAGACACCACTATGGGTGTGCCTAAGGGAGTTCGCAGGTGTCAATTATGTGAAGACGAGAAGAGAGGAGGCAGCCTGAAGCATGCAACATTTATCTCCTGGTAACATTTTGTTATTTTGTTCACCACGTGGAGAGAATGTGAGCGAGAGAAACGAGAGGAATAAGGTGGGGGTGGGGGGGGAAAGAGAGCGTTAATTATGGGCGTAGCCACCCTCCAATTAGCCTACTTGCCTGTCTTCCTGCCTGTTTCTGCTTCGGTGGGTCCCTAACTGACACGTACGACGCATTTGAACGCATGTTTACGGGATGAAGGAGTCACCTTGAAGACCTTTGTGTAGGGCAGACACCTCTTGTGGGATTTATTGCTCCAAAAACCTACCCTTTTATTGTTCCTAATCCACATTTAGTTTTTGAAGACTACTCTGTTCCTACAGAAATTCTCAGAGTTGAAATAAGAGGTAATGTCTAGTAGGGTGTGATGTGCTCAGCTTCGACAAGACGAAAACGCAGTGGATGACCAAACTTCAAACCTAATTAGCACTTCATGTTTGCCCGCCTAACATCAAGGTGTTTATCGACCTCTTAAAGGGTCAAATCTAAGGGACTGCAATGCGTGTGTTAGTGACAAGGGAAATCAGAGGAAGAGTCTATCAGCTAATATGGGCTGTTCAAACCAGGTTAGGTGATGTAGCTAACTAGGGCTACATCACTTGGGCGGTGAACCTGAATCAAATCTGTTTTGTTCAGAAAGGAGGAAAATCAAGCGCGTTTTCCAGACTGTGACTTGCCAGCCCCTAATATGACAAGTTGACTGAATCTCTATTCTCCTCCGCAAGTAAGTATACAAGGCAAGTGTGAATCCTGCCTCATTTAATCTTCATTTTCTCAACTCTCCCCCGTTTGAGTATGACGGTTCACCTCCATAAAAGCTGCAAATTTAATGGGCAAAACCTTTATTCTTATTGCATTAAATCAACTCGGCTTCTGAGTGTTTTTTTAAAGTTGGTGGCTTTATCTCTATCACCCTAAAAAAGAACGAGGTTGAAGTTCAAGTAGGCTGGCCTGAAATTCAAAACCGCTCAGTGTGGTCGTCGTTGTGCATGTACAGTCAACTTTTTGCCTTTTCATTAAAGGAAATCAAGGCTGAAGGTAAAAAACTCGAAATTCATGTCTATTTGTAGAGGCAATATATATTTCTAAGCAGATGATGACATTCGGCATTGTTAGCGGATGATTATGGTTAGGTGCCGTATTTTAATCCCAGTTCGCTGTAATCGATGGAGAAAATTAGAAATGATTTGTGATTAATGTCATTGTTTTGTCCCTAAGGCCCTCGAAAGACCTGACATGTTTTTGACATTAAAAAACTGGGTGTACTTGTCATGGTCCCTAAAAGCGGTCAAGGCTAACAAAGACACAAATAGCCAACTAGACGATGGATGTAAGTGAAAAATCAGGCCCAAATCATTCGTTTGCATTTCGATGACAAGTATAATTAGGCCTTTTTGCTTAAATTCTGCTTAGGTGAAAATAGCAGAGCCATATTTTACCAAGGAATGGCGTAGTAAATACCCATCGTTAATGGAGATCGGAATAATGGGTGGTGTCGAAATGATTAAAAAATGTTGCCACTTTTGCAGCCAAACAAGCTTTAATAGCATTCATTCCCCCTCCCCATCCTCCTCACTCCTCTTTTCCCTTCGCCCCTCGCCAGGGATACCACTTGAGTAAAATTTCTGCCTATAACCATGCGTAGCAGCTTGAACGGACGCACCCGCAATAGCACGCACACGTACACACGCACAGCCATGAGGCATGTCGGATGGCGCAACTCACTATCACGCCGCTGTGTCCAGAGCACCTCAGAAGTATCTCACATGGAAAGTGCTGGCCTCACCACAGGTCTTGGTACATCCACCCCGCCCACTCCATCAGCTAGCCAAGCTGCCACGCTATCGATGAATTTCGCTCTCTCCTCCACCTCCACAACTGCTGTACCGACTGAGCCCTCGACGACGGCATTGGCATTTGAGCAGATTTTTGGTGGACTCATGCTTCCTCCGCCCACGGCGAGCACGGCAAAGGGATTAGTGATGGGAGAGAAGGAGTGTCCCACTGGGCTACCCCCCTGGATAACGACTTCTTCCATTGGGGAGAGCGGAATTCCTGCTGGAGGGGGTAAGATGGTCGTTGTTTGTGTCTCAGATCTAAAGAAATTCATTCAGCTTCAACCAAAGGTCAAGATCAACATAAGTAGCCCAGAAGAAGTAGTCTCTGTGAGTATGAGAGGGCTACGGGATCACTGTTTTCTAAACGGCTTCGTTGAAGTGGTCTTAAAAGTTCTCTACTGTCTAGTAATGTTGTAGTTATTGTACAGAGAATGTTTAAAAATAAGAGATTTCTTTTGGCAAAACATTAAGTCCCCTTCACGTTTTACAAAAATAAATATTAAAAGCAAGTACTATTGTGATTTGAAAGTGACAGCGCATCACATGATTGCCATCCAAGGTATGCAGGAGGTTGTCATTTTGAAATGCCAGTATCAACCCTTATTTTAAAAAGTTTTCATACACAGGGTCGGACCTACCCCATCCTATTTCTGACGTTTAATCTTCGACTATTTTATAAAGTCAACTTTAAGGAGTGAGAAGGATAGGAAAAACGTCAACGGGATTGTGCGTATAATTAGGAGAACATTTTGGAGGAGTGCAAAATTGATGAAAATGTAGCCTTCTAAAATCCCTTAGCTTGATAATGAACTCCACTGGGCCACATACCGCCTGGATGATCACATGACGGCTCTTTGAAAATTCAAGTTTCGTAGAACAAGCTATCATGATATATCTGGCTCATTTGGCAACTTCAGAGCATCATTTCATAAAGATTTTTTCGGTTACCTACTGATGATGATGTTCTTAAAACTTCTAATTGAATTAAGATAAATTTTGAATCGTTTTTATCCCATATTCACAGTTGAGTGACCTGATGCCTTAAAACCGACGCCTTGTGATCTGAGTGTTGTGAGGGGTCACCTGAATTCCGCCTCAAAAGTTCGAGTTCGCCTATTTCGTGATCAAACGACTGAAATAAGTCAAGACCTGTTAAGGTACTGTCATTGTCAAACATGCGTTAATGCAGCGCCGATCAACCAGAAAACTCCATTTTAGCAGTAGTAATCTGATACAATGGCAGTGAAGACTTGACAATCACGGCATTCTTGAAAGTCCTCTGCAAAATAGCTTAAACTTCCACTTTATCGGTTAAAAATAGCCAATTAAGTTCGTTACCTCGAAGAGTAAATTGCGCAACCTCTCACAGTCCATCTCAGTGAGTGGCAATTCAGTACAAATTTCTCTTTTTCTGCTTAAATTCACACGTCTGCGATGCTTGTGCGCAAAGTGATGAGGTTGTGGTGGTAGAGTCAAGCAGAAAATCCTGAGACATTGAATACCGAGATCTTTTACCGTTTGAACACACTGTGAGCTGAACGTGTCACCATAAATTACACTGCCATCGGAACAGTCAAACCTGTTATTCAGAATGATGGCTAACGTTATTCCATATATCCTAGTTTATGCTCTCATTTTTTGCAAAAAAATGTAATTGGGCATGTCTAAAGCGCAAGCTGTGTGTTCTTTGAGGCGATTTCTGTTGCTTTGCCCTTCTTGTGTGCTCAGTGTTTGGAGTGGGAAAATCAAGTCCTCCAATTACTCAGCTAATTTAATTAGCAGGGCAATAAAAATGCCAAATTTCTGTCTTCCGGAGACCTGCCTACATCCTCAGAAAGTCCTTTTCTCAGGCCTGGTTTTTCTTCCTGTTGCTCACAAAAGGAAATTGGGGTTGCCTCTCCTTCTCCTCCCACTACTGCTCCTCTTTAATCTCTTTCCTGAGGCGTAAGTATAAAATGGGGAAACCAGGGAACGTATCCACTACAGCGCCTCCCAAGGTGCTGCTACCAAATGTCTGTATTTTACTCATTGACCTTTTGTAATTTGCACATTCCAGTCATTTTCATGCCCCAATTATTAGTTTAAATGCTTTCGCGTTTCCCCTTCCCCTCCCAAGTCCTAACCCCCTGGCTTCCTTTTTGTGCAAATAAATGTCATCGTGTCAAAACTTCAAAAGGCACTCTTAAGGCACTCTCCAATAATTTGCACAAAATTAATTTAGCGAAACAGTAGACTTTTTGACTAAAATGCATTCAGTTTTTACTCGTCTCCTCCTCCCCCTCCTCTCGCCTTCCCTTATTTTCCTACTGATTGATTAAGCACACATTAAAATTAGTTTGTCCCGATTTTTTCTGCTAAATGTTAATTATCACCTGCCGTTCGAGTGGAAATATCACAAAACTATGGTAAACGAATTATACGAATGAATGACCCAGAAAAAATGCATGGTGTGTGAATGGGTGTGATTTGAAACCGAGGCTGCTGGGTGTGGATCTGCATACGCACACACCCATTTGCCAGAATCGCTAAGGTTAATTAGGAGGAGGAGGTGGTGGAGGGGGAGGTAGGGTACAGCGTTCGTGTGTGCGCACAAACCCCTGCAAACTGGTCATTTGTTGAGAGAGAGAGAGAGAGAGTGAACGCGGTAGTCCACCTACAGCATTCAATCAACAGACGTCAACTCCACTCTCTAATGATGTTAATTGACTAGGCATCCTCCCCCACCCCCACCCTATCTGTCGCGCGCCTTACTTGGCGTCCCTCCACACCACATCAGCTCATATCAATTAATTAATAGGTGTCCGATTGCTGATTCATTGTCATTAGCTAATCGCTTTGCCTTGTCAAAATGACTTAACCAGCGGCCATTCTCAATTCCGAATCACAAATGGTTTTCAACCCGGGAGAATACAAAAACGTCCTTTTTGTGCAAAAGCACTTAAATTTACATTGCATATTCTATTTGGTTGTGAGTTGGTGTTACTCACGTGAAGGAGTCAAAGAAACAAGCGTTCGATGTACATGTTTCGAGAAAATAAAATAAGTTAAAAGAAATTTAACGCGCCCTTATTGTAATTAACTTCCTTACCTATCGTTTTCAGTAAAAAATAGGCACCCTTGATTATGCATTGTTTTAAAATCCAAATGATCCATATAATATGTGCTGGTAGAGGATGTCGAGTTTCCCTTAACTTATTTTGTGTTTGTTTTTGGGGAACTTTTGCTGACGTTCGAAAAATATTCTTGAAGTGCGAAGCAATATCATTTAAATACAAATAATTGGCCCCAAAATGACCTTACAATCTGTGTCCAATCTTATTACCTCTTAGACAAGGCGTCGGGGAAATTTTTACAATCCGGTGCAGATATAATGAGGTTTTATCGAAGTCTAGTTTGGGGTTTTGTAGCTTTTGTTTATAAAAGTGTTGATTTTTTCAACACAAGCAATGCTTGAATACATTTTGGTCTATTATTTTGATATAAATAAAAAGGAACCATTAAGTGGTGAATAATAGCACCGAAAAAGAGTTCTTTTACCGATTTTACTTCACTTTCGTAGGTGAATACACAGTTCCATACTTCGTTCTTAGCTGTGAATAAACCTTGAGGCAGTTTTAGTGATTTTCTAATGCGTTAATTGTCTAATTTACTATCGGTTTTGGCAGTGGGCTAGTGAGGGCAGCCAATACAGTACCTCAGCCGGGTGGCCCAGCAATCAGACCATGCAAGTAGTCTCCAGCCTTTCTGCAGGTAAAAAATACATGCTCTACCCGAGCAATATGTCGTCTTTCCTCTTCGGAAAAGTCTTGAATGGCTAGAATTCTCGTACAGATACAAATGAAGATTTCTAAATTTTCTGACATAAAAATTATTTCAAGCCATATTTTATTCAACACCTCAATTTTATCCGATGTAAAACTTTTTCAAATAGGTCGATTTATTATATTTTGAAAGAATACTTAGGACCTAACTGAACTAAATGATAAGTTCCAGCTCGTAAACTAATTACTGACTTGCACCCGACCACGCTGAAGAGAGAGGGAGTTGGAGGAGAAAGGAGGCGAGCAAATGAAAGCATTTACCAGATAGGACTTCCTGAAATAATTAACTCTTATTATCGGTTAATTAGGTAGTCTCTCTCTCCCCCCATTTCCCTCAAGCACACCCACACACACAAACGCTCGCCAATCCCCACCGTTCCCCTGGGAAAGTGGCCGGGGTTTTCGCTATCAATTGGATCAAATAATTAGGCCGTCCAGCTGTGGCAACAATCCAAATCATCTCTTCTTCAGAGGCTGACTTTTCAATTTGAAAAATGGAAAAACAAAGGAGAGCATGTACGGCATTGTAGGCACTATTGCATATCAGAGCCACTCAAAGGAGGTACGAGTAACGAAGTGGTAAAAGACGCCGCTGACTAATTAAGGGAGGTGTTACTCACAGCCGTCGCTAAATGACCCTGGACTGATGGCTGTATTGACACTCCTACCACCACTACTACCATCCTCCCTGTGGGGTCCTTAATATACCTACACAAAAAGTGGATTGTCTGTCTAGAGCGTGTGTAAACTAATTAGATCCTATTATGCATAAATTAATTAAGTATTTAGAAGCTCCAGAGGGATAGAGAGTGAACGCTCATCTCCCCTCCCTGCCTCACCTACCCACTGCACTCCACCTCACTTCGCCTGTCCGTCCGCTCCTCCGTCCCGACTCGTGTGAGTAATTTTTCTCTCTCCTAATTAAGTGGAGAAAATTGCATTAATGAGGGAACACAACTGGACTGGACTTAACCTCTGCCTACCTACCCACCTCCTATCAACCCTTCCCTCCAGCCATTTGCATAAATCAGAAGTTCAATTAGCAAAGTACTGAAAAACTTTGCCTTCTTGACTCTCGGACTTTGTATAAGCCCTCTTTACAAAGTCCGAATTCAACAATTTCAGAACTAGTCATTCGAAAAACTCACTACGTGTAGTACTGTGCCAAGTCTGTCCATCTACCGCCTGTAATAGTCGACCTACATGTCGTACATCAGCCAGTCGACACATGGTCTAGCGAGGTAGTGGGCATGGTTATCCTCACGGGCAGGAGGCTTTGAGGACAGTCCAACAGGTCGATGAGGCACTTAGTCCCACTACGGCATGACATTTGGATGGTGGAGACATTTTAAAGTCGTCTGATGGTACATATATGTGACATTCCCGGTAGTGATCATTTCTGATCCCAGCTCCTCTATAATCTGGCGTGTATTTTTATGAGAGATGGATCTTGGGAATTGTAAATATAATTGTTTATTTTTGTTCACGGTTTTATAAGCCTTTACTCTTTTGGCCAACACTAATAATGAAGTAAACTAGATTGCCCTAGGCTAGTTCAGCCACAGGTATCCGTTGAAGGTTAGGGTTAGTTTGGAAGTGAAAGAATATACCAAAAAGCGAATGCAGCTTTAGGCCCCCTAAATTAAGTCTTTTCTTTCTTTACCTTAAAAGTCGCTGTCCAATTTCGTGAAAGCGCGGTTTCATTCCAGTCTGTAAGCTCTATTAAACAAGCCTTTTGATTGATAATAGAAGAAGAGGGCGAAAAATTAAGAGAACGAGATTTAAGGGTGTTAACAAATATGAATTTTAATTAGTTTATTTGTTTGAAGTTCGGGTGAGAAG